TTTTTTTTTTTTTAAAGTAGACCTTTCTCTGTTTGTTTGTTTTGGTACCAGGGATTGAACTCAAGGGACCTGGCATTTGCAAGGCAGGTGTGTGGTGCCACTGAGCTAAATCCCTGGCCCTTCTGTTTGTTTTTTTTTAAAAGACAGGGTCTCGCTATATAGTTCAGGTGGCCCTGTACTCACTATATAGCTCAGGCTGGCCTCAAACTTGTGGTGATCCTCTTGACTCAGCCTCTCAAATGCTGGGATTATAGGTGTATACCACCAACCTGGTGGCTTCATTTTTCAATAGTGATTAGACATAAAGTACAAATAGGAACTAAAATTTAAATTTGTTTCTAAGCTTTTCAGGAAAGGGACTCTTGGAACATTTACTGCCTTCTACTGTACATACCTGGACTCAACCATCATGGCTGATGCTTGATAAAGGAGCTGCGTCTGGTGATCTGTGTTGAACCCTCGAGCGTATGCAACATTATCCAAAACATCACTGCCAGAAAGACCGTACCTAACAAGAACATGTAGGCTGTGTTGCGTCTGGTGATCTGTGTTGAACCCTCGAGCGTATGCAACATTATCCAAAACATCACTGCCAGAAAGACCGTACCTAAAAAGAACATTGGTAGGCTGTGCACACAAGTAAATGATAAATGCACCTCTAACACTTAAAATTTAGGTAAGAAATGAAATTGACAGTGCTTGTAAGGCCCAAGAATATGACTCCCTATTAGTAAATTCAGGCAAACTATCCAGAGAGATGACCGCAGCAAGTACTTTTGAGTGGATCTACTTGGCAAGACTTTATGACCAATCCCGAGCAACTTAGCAACTTAAGAGAGACCCTGTTTCAAAATTTAAAAATAAAGACCCTGAGATCAATTTGCAGTACTGCAAAAAAGTTTCTTTCTTTCTTTTTTTTCCCCCTGGTACCAGAGAGCAAACTCAGAACCTTGAGCTTGCAAGGCAGGTGGTGGCACCACTAAGCTAAATCCCTGGCCCTTGCAAAAAAGTTTTTTAAAAAAATTTAAATCAGGGCTGGCGATTTAGCTCAGGGGCTCTGCTGCTTGCCTTGCAAGCGCAAGGTCCTGAGTTCGATCCCCAGTACACATACACACACACACACACACACACACACACACACACACACGGGTGTAAACAGAAAGATTCAAGAGGTCTTAGTACTATATTACACAAGTCTTCTAGTTTTGCCTCAAGAAATACTGATACATTATATGAGAAACTCAGAATATAAATAGCAAAATAAAAGATATCAGGAAAAAGGGAAGAGGACCAAGAGATGGGGAGAGCAGGGAGGGAAGAGAGGGGAAGGAGAAGAAAAAAATATTGAAGTAATATACTATCAGGAAGAGACTGTCTTTTTGCTACTAGAACATGGAAGGTTCACCAGGAAAATAGAATTATCCTCTTTTCTCACAAGACCATGGGGTGGGCCAGGGATTTAGCTCAGTGGTTCCACCACCTGCCTTGCAAGCAAAAGGTCCCCAGTTCGATCTCCCATACCAAGAAGGTT